GGGGGGGGTAAAATTCTGACTTGTCACATAATATATCGATAAGAGAATTTGTAACGCGAGTTCAAGACGAATTGGTATGCAGAAAAGCCCGTGCAAAATGTCCGTGCAAATGTCATGTAAACACACTCCTCACTTCATTTAAACTGAAACAATCGTGGTGATTCTGAAAGGCTCCAACTCTAATTATACTCATTTCAGCTGATGGACAGGGTGCTGTAATTGTGGTGCTATGCGATATATGAAGGTGCTATATTTTTCCGGGCTATATTCTGGGATACGGTTATTTACTCGTACGGAGTTCGCGTTCGAGCCTAAGGCGACAACTGACCTAGCCCATGACTGAAAAAAAATCGATCTCAAAAGCCCGGACAATATTTTGCCGGAGTGATTTTCAAGTTTTTTAGTTTGGGTAGTATGCAGTACCAATTTTTAGACGAAAATCATGAGAAGCAGTACGGAAATGGTATTTTTCATGTCTAGCACGTAAAAAAAGAATCAGCATCACTTTTTTTTGTTCTGGTTATGATGCATTTTTATGTCATTGTGGCCGAAAACGCGTTTTTATTCGAGCGCAGCGAGGTTAGAAACGCGTTCCACCGGCCGCAATGGCACAAAAATAATTTCTGCTTTTAAATCGACAAAACCTTCAAGAACAATGTCGCTGGTGCTTTCCATTTCATTACTATTATTGCTTCATTGATCAATATACGCTGTATACAGAAAATATGTTCATAATACAACTGCATGAGCGACATTGCCTGCACAGTGATTAGTGAGCTTCATTTCTTTATAATTTATTGATGTCAGTTCAGCCATTTCAATTCTATTTTTGATCACTCTTTGTCGATTTTTCTTGACGTTACGATCTGGACGAATCGTTTTCTTTGCAATTATTACACTGTCTCGGCTGCTCTGAACCATCACCAATTACAACATTAATCTGGAATAAATATGATCCTTCTGGTACTATTATGCTTTCCGAGTAGCTACCGAATAGACTAACCTGTCCTGGAGTACTTGTCTGTATTATCTGAATCCTCTTGCTCATGTACTCCATTAGGGTTCCTCAACTATCGCGTTTATATCGCTTTTATTCGCTGCCTATATATTCTATTTTTCTCTCAAAAATCCATAATCAAATATACGACTTTTAATGTACTAGCGGCGGCAGCAGCATCCAGGCTAAGCAACGCTTAGTTGGGTTAGTACTTGGATGGGTGCCCACTTAGTCATACCACTCGGCATGTAGACTGCCGGCGTTAGGCACGGGTGTAGATAGCTGCTGTGTGACTGATGAACACAGCAAAATCCCTGCATTACCGGCCGGCTGCACTGCTGGGGTTTTCCATGGTTTTCCTCAGTACAAGCCAAATGGGTACAGTAAGAAACGTCGGCCCATGACACCGCCACAATAATGAGGATAGTAGGAGAGGCTACAGCAGGCATGGGCAAAGTGCGCTCAATCGGCTCACCTAGCTCCCAACCTCAATTAGGCCAATGACTATAAAATAAGGGGTCCTATTGTACCGCGCAGGTAGTTGGAGGGGCAAGACCACGATCCTTGGGTCAGAGTGGGGAAATCGTTACGTCAGTCAACGCGCAAAAATTTGAATTTTTGAACGAAAAATATGAATATTTTTCTGGCTGCATTTTGCATTGTTAAAAAATATCAATCAATCAATTTGCCCTCTATCAACTTCCGCATAAAATTCCGTTGAATAAATTACTCTGAATTAAACAATTCGGCAGCAAATTAATTTTAAATAACTGTTAAGAAGATTTTAAAATTTTTGTTAATACAAAATTTTGTTAATACAAGATTTGTTCCAATATGAATATTGAAAGAATAAATAGATTCAAACCAAAAATGGAGTTAAAAGAATCCGTTCATCCAAATTATTTGAGAGAAATTTCCTTGCAGAACTTTCATGGTAAAATCATTTAGAGTTGTCTTCTTTGGCTCATATATCGGCAAAAAATAAGAAAAATAGATTAAAATGTAATGAAAAATCCCATTCATTTCAAACCCAGAGCTTTCTGTGGGACATTTCTATAAAAAAAACTTTCAACTGCATTTTTGGTATGAATCTATTTATTCTTTCAATATTCATATTGGAAGAAATCCTGTATTAACAAAATTTTGTATTAATAAAAATTAAAAAATCTTTTCAACAGTTTTTTACAATCCCAAACTTGTATAGATTTCATAGAAATCTAATACAGTCCCAATAGAATGGATTTTGATTGAATTTTAAAGAACTGACATCTCATTTTTTTTCAATTTTTACTAAAATAATTATTCAATATTAAGGTAACCAAGAAATAATCAATTTCTGGCACCATGATGTTTGAACCATTACCCCCGATATAACTGAGGATTTACCACGTTGAATTGGTGAAAATTTGTTTGAATTTTTAGGCGGTAAGGTTTCTTAAATTTGAAAGGAAAGCGCGCGGTGCTCTCTCTGTCTAACTGCGCCCCACTTCGTACATGCTGCTACTCCCACCATGAGTACCCTGGGCTCCACGCAATTGGGGTATTGTATTTCTAATAATGGGTCTAATAGGGTTTTATGGCCCCGGCTCCCGAGGATCCGACTTTGCCCATGCCTACAGGTTAAGACAACCCTTTGTCTTAAGCTGTTAGCCTGTTAACCTGCGCCTAGCAAACCATGAAAAAGACTATTAATCGGAACATGCTAATAGGAAAAGGAAATGTAAATGAAAAAAAGAATACTTTTAATTTACTCTCTTTCCTCTTTAATATAAGTTTCACTTTAACGGCTTCGCGTTAACAATTAGAAAATTCTCTTATCACATGGTGTATGATTTCGCGTCATAATATTGAAAATGTGCAGAGGAAAACCGATCTAGTTAACAAAATATTGTGAAAAAAGTAAGAAGATATATCATAGATTCCATTATTCACTGATGCTGAGACAATGGTTAAAGTTTCAAACCTAGATTTTTTTAATGACTATTTATACTTAGAATATTTACGTAAATATTTGTGGAAAGGCCAAATTCTAGAAAAGAAAATAAACAAGCTAATTGGAAATTGCAGTGTGCGAGAAGTATTTAGCTCAGAAGAATCGATTAATTCGATTTTTTCAACCATGCTATATTTGTTTAAATCTTTATAGTGTTCAATCCTTGAGGATATATGGGCATCTATTTTCTTTGCATATAACCTCCCGCTCGTCGAGCCCTCATGGATTGGCAAGATCGCCGGTAGCTGGGATCAAACTCGCAGCTTTTCGCACACAAAGCTCGCGCTTAGCCCACTCGCCCAAGCCGACGCCGGTTAACATGATACACTCAGTTTTAATTCTCTTTCATTAAACAGGATCAATCTAGTGTGGGACAACTCATAATGGAAGATTGATACTGGCACTTCTCGGAATAATTTATCTGACGATGAAATCTAGTCTCATTCTGTTTTCTATAAACGAGTCTTGACATTCTATCTCGCACCAGTCTTCATTTCATCGCCAAGATAAACGATTCTCACCAGAGAATTGAATATTTACTGAAAAATTTAAACGATCACCGATCTGCACCACCTCTTTGGCCAACCGATTTTTTTTCTTTGGATCCCGTTAAGATAGTCTTTAATGCAATTATTTTCACTACATCTGATGTAATAATGAATAAACTGAATTCTTGGCTTGGTTGGAGTTACCCGTTGACTTCCAAGGATCGTTGATGCCTGGATAAAAAGATCTATCTGATATTTTCCTTATTTTTCAGTTTTCATTTCGGTGCGATATATTTTGCCTATGAAGTTTTCATTTGCGATATTTTCGTCGGATATATTATGTTGCCGGATATTATTGTAATATGTTTTTTTTACTTGTGATATTTTGGTATGAATTATTTATTTTATGATATTTTAACTGAGAGTCAGGAATTGGCATCTCGAAGAGAGTTTGGCAGATAGTTTTTTTAGCCACTTTTTTGGAATTCTTTGAAGTTTTTGAACAGGTATTTTTTCGCCCATTTTTTCAATTTGTCCCATTGTTCCTCAATTTCCCTTAAAAACGTACTGTACATTCGGTAGCTCATTTTCAAGCTAATAAAGGTTTTAAAGTTAAGTTAACAGGACGTCCTGCACTTTGTTTCCAAAACATTACCTAAGATGATTTTGCATATTGCCCTATGGTGATTATCCAATTCATTGATTCATTTTTTCGTTGAATTCCCCAATCTCTACTTCAACAGAGTATTCTGTAAATAAGTATTCAATGACTGTTGCAGATTTTAATGAAATGGGGTGAATACTCCGCCGACGTTCAACTGATACTTCGAAGATCGAGTGCAGACGGAACGAAAAACCAAAATCAAAGCTCAACGAATAGTCGTTCAAGCTATGGCACTCGAAGTAATGGAACACAGGGAAATTCATTAGATCCCCTAGTTATCAGCAGAAGCCACGATAATGGAAGGAACAATACCACGAATTCCACGTCGGAATGCAATGATTCACCGGAAGTACTTAAGAGGAATCGTGACATTAGGAAGTCCCTCACTTTTAGCGGTATACATGGAACATCCCCAGAAGGGAATATTGAGGTAATATTTTAAACATGAACCTATCAGCTGATCCCGAAGAATTTTTTTTAGAAACTTTAAAGAATGGGTTTTAGATACAAATGGAAAATATTGCTGTTGTCCAACCCACTTTGCAATCGAAGAATAAGGATGGACTGATACGGAGAAATGTGCAGACAAGCACAGATTCTCCAACAAGAGGATCAGTTGGCGAAGGTAAACAAATAATGGAAATGGAAGATACCCAAATATATCTTTTATATCTTAAAATTTTTTAACTATTATTTTAGCCTCACTTGACCTTAAATTATTGCCTTATTACCAATTGTTTCCTAAATCATATTGAAATGAATGGTAAAGTGGAATGTTATTAATAAATTGTTTTTGGAGGTGAACAATTCATATACTTTATATGTGATCATTCATATACAAAAGATTCCTTTGCGTGCTGCTGGTTTCCGAGAGGTCGCCACTTTAGTGATTTGGTTTAGAAATATTGTTTTTTCTTTTATTGTTTCGAATGAACGTAAAACTCTTAGCAACGAACTGGACAAGTTAAACCTCATTATTTCACCTAGAAGTTAATCATTTGGCATTTGAAGAAAAAAAGAAAATGGCCCTTGCTGAAGAGCGATGCGAATTGCATATGGAGTTTCTCCTAGAGGGGCTTATCACTAGTTAGGGGTCATTTTATTAGACCCAGGTAATTTTTCGCAGCGAAAGGGTTTCGATTCAGAACAATGATTATTTTCCATCAATTATAGTCGAATCATTCTTTTCCTGTATTCACCTCCTGTTGAAAATATGAATCAACTGATTAATTCTTCAGTTTCACATGATATTATTTATCCTCGTTGGATATTCTCTTACTTGAAATTATGTTTAACCCATCAAATAATTAAATGATTCGATTAGAAATTGTTGAAATTTCATTTTAGAAAAAGATTTCTTATAGGGAGTATATACATTTATCATTGAAGAAAGGTCCTACTCAGCATATGAAAAAGTAACCACTCGATTTGATGCATCAGTACGATCTGCGGTGTTAGTTTAAATTACAATCTCAATAAATTGCACATAGAACTCCAGTAAATCCATTGTCGACCTATAACATCAATTTGTTCAAAAACTTGTTTTTAAACATGACAAATTTAATGATTCCGCCAGGTGATGACCTGGAAAGTTTTATTTGAGCTCCCAATTTCCGGAATTTCACCAGAACTCTTTCATGTGGACGTCTACATATATATATTGTTTTTTATCCCTTGTATACTTTCCACGATATTTTCAAAATAATTTGGAGAATTCACATGTGTAATTGTTTTAAAGATGCAATCATTCGGGATAAAATAACCTCTTGACATTTGAATTTGTATAATTTTTCATACCATAGTTTACGTTGAAAAGAGGCGGAAATTGTATTATTACTATCACAATTCGAACTCTCAATTACCTTTTAAATTCGCTTCCAGGTCTATTTACTGTACAACAAAAGAAAGCCCGGGAAATTCCGCCATATAGAGAACCTCCTGGCCCCGAAAATTCTCCTCATCGGACTCTCCCCCCGTACCGTGACCCACCACCGCCAATTGTAACAAGCCCAATACGATGTCATGCCTCTGAGACAATTCCCGTAAGTTACTCCCACCTGAATGGTGATGAGCCGTCATCACCGAATCATCCAAAATCAAAGCGCAATCTCAATCAAGAGGTGCAGGACTCCAGAAATCTCATGCAAAATAAAAGTCAGAATAGCCAATCACCGAACATGGTTACTGTAGCATACACTCAACGCTACGCCGAACTCATAAGACTAGTCAATAGGCAGCGTGATACGATAAACGCGCAACAAGTTGATCTCACAAAGGTTAGCATTATCTTCCCTCATAATTATGATCTAATTGAATTATCTCTAATGCGGACATAAAAATTTGATAGATGTGGTTACTTATTGTTCCAGTTTGATGCTGAAATTTTATACTGGGAGAATAAAAATCGAGAGCATTGCAATCAAGTTGATTATATTTCACAGGAAATTAATAGAATCGAATCAACTGGGCGGATAATCGACGAACAGGTGAGATTTTCAACTCCAAATGTCTTTATTAAAATCATTCAGTGTTTATCTCTCTGTATAATATTGGGTAATTATTTAGTAGATTCAGTGTTTAATCCCAGTCCCAAATCAGAGTATTCGATAAAATCCATTGTCCTAGAGACAAGGAACCATTGTCGCGCATTTTATAGCTATTCTACCTAATGCCAGTTTTTATCCCTAGTGCAAATCTATAAATTCTCCAAAACGTTTCATAACCACTAATCACTATCATCCGAATTGTCTTATGAACTATAATTGAACTTATATATCAGAGGGTACCCTCTTGGTTTCATATTACATTGGGCCTCAATCCTGATCCTCTGATATGATACCAGTAAACTTATTGGTTTCACCTATGTTAGCGACGTGAACGGCGAGCAACAATTTTTGTTTGCACAAAAATCGATATTCTCTAGCACACGAAGCTAATCCTCTGTGTGGTGTGCGTGAACTATTCCTTCGAACGCACAATCGATCACATTAATGTATGATCAGATTTGAGTGCCTTATAATAACCTTGACACTGTGTACACTCTGAGGATGGATTACTTTTAAACAATTTTGGATCGAAATTTTGGTAAGTTCGAATCGCGGAAGAACCGGGAGACAATGATAATAAGAATCAAAGCCTCATAATTAAGGGTTGTTAATTAAAGTACTTTCTTTTTGTTTTCGTATGTATTTTCATGATATCGTTCTTTACTCGATGAAGTCGTTGTACCCTGTGTGGGGGGTACTTATGTTTATAATAGCTTCTAGGATTAAAGGGATTTTTTTACAAGAGGTTTTTAGGAAATCTTCAGAAGATCCTTGGCCAGGGCCAAGGTAGTCAAGGCCAGATTTGAGATTCTTATTCAGTAAAACCTTAGTTCCTCTCGTTAACCACGTCCTACACTCCCCCCCGCGGAACCGCCAGCAGGCAGTATTGGGGGGGGGGGGGGGGCAGCAGCAGAAAGACCGCTCTACCTGTCAAAGGGTAGAATGCTCTCTACTCACCCAGCAGCAACCCAGGTTGCTGAAGCGGAGAGCATGGCTCCAGCGCCTCGGGCGAGGTCGCTCCTCTGATCGGTCTCTCCCATCGTTCACCGAACGAAGCAAACCGTGGGCATGAGAAGAACACATGTTCGGCGTCTTCCAGAACTTCGGAACAGATCGGGCAATCCGGAGAGTCCTCGTGCCGAGATCTCTGAGGATACACGCGGGAACACGCATGATCCGAGAGTAACTGGGTGAGATAAAACTTGACCTCACCATGCTGCCTGTTATGCGCCCTTTCAGTGCTTTGCACCATTTCTCTTGCCGTCTGGCGATGCTTCTGCGTCTTGCCGCCGTAGTCGCCTCTCCAATGGACGAAATATTCGGTGGTTCTCGTGGTGCGGGCTAAGGTTGAGACTCCGTCACACGGTAGAGGGATCTCCGCCCCCAGTTGGCCCGTAACACCCGAACCGATCGGACGTTAAATTCAAAGCAGCTTTATTCCCAGTACAAAATCCAAAATCCGAAAACAGTGACGGCGGTTAACAAAAGGAGCTATACTTGATACTTGATAAAATGTCTCCAATACATCTGGAAAAAAAAAGGCAAATCCAATCCGGGCAACGTCATCGCAGATCGCCTAGATAAAGAACTCATGGAAATGAGAAAATTATATGGAAGGAAAACTACACCTTCTACATATGCTTCCCAGCAAAATCCCCTCGCTGCAAACATGGCATCACAGGAGAACACTCTCCACATTACACAAACTCAATCAAATAATAACGAGAATTTCTCACCAAATTCATCGTATCACGAGTTAACTTCTCCGAAATCAAAACGACCGAGAAAGTCCAATAATCATCACACATCGACAATAACACCAGCAGATTCCCCCCTCACCATCACGGACTCAGAGGAAGAATTATTTGAGGACAATACAATGGATCATAAGGAGACAGAAAACATCCTTGAAAACATATCGCAGGCAGCTGAAGTATCGCAACAACAACGCAGAACGGGTCAACGACCGCCACCAATACACTCAATAGGCAAACCACTGAAGGCCATCGCCGAATTACTGTCGACACCTGAAACTATCAATAAGTTTTACTTACGTCAACCAAAAGACTCCCAATACGTATCAATTTTTCCTCTAAATTCATCAACATACAAAAATTTTAAAGATATCCTATCCGAAGAAAAAATAGAATATTATACATATACTCCCAAAGAGGAGAAAAATAAGAATCTTGTCTTAAAAAATATTTACGGAGACTTTAACGAAACCGATATACTCAATGCTTTAAATGATTTTAAAATTCCAAATATTAATATTACTAGAATTTTAAAAATGATATTAAATAAAATAACTAAAAAAATTCGCCTTCTCAGTCCAACTCACGAATGACTCAATAGTCAAAAACTTAATAAAATACAAAATTATTTTATTTCAAAAAATAACTTGGGAACCTTTAAGGAAAAATTCATTATTCCAATGCAAAAACTGCCAAAGAATTGGGCACTCCAGTGCCAATTCCAACTTATCATTTAGATGCGTAAAATGCGCAAAATCGCACAATCCAGGTAACTGTGAGTTTAAAAAAATCCTTGATAAAGCATTATTAAAATGCGCTAACTGTAATCAGACTGGTCACCCAGCCAACTACAAAGGCTGCTCCTATTATAAAAATGCTATGGAATTATCCAAAAAAATGAAAAACAATGCTAAAAAAGATACAATAAATAAAATAAGCCACATCTCGAATAGACTCACCCCGTCCGTCACGTTTGCGGAACGAGTGGGAGGGTCGAAAACTATAATATAATAAATAATATAATAAATCCCCCAATCAATGCTGATTTAAATCCTACCGCCCCAAGGGTGCAAACTAGTGCAGTCTATTTACACTCAAACTCCGATCAAATGGGATTTCATTCTCCCTCGCCCTGGGCCACAAACATGCCCCAATGTATAATACAAGCTGTTCCTAATGTAATAACGCTTATCTCGGAACAAGTGAGAATAAATATTAATAATATTAAAACCATAATGGATTACCTTAAAATTAATAAAGATGGCGACACTTAAACCACAGACTAGCCAAAATCCAATGGAATCTATTCTACACCATACTTAATATTTAAATTATAAAAATAACATTTCCCCCCACAACACCCTAGATAAATGAAGAGATGCCTCTTTTTCACAATAATCCTAAATAAAAGTAAAACCTTTTATTCACCTTCTTTTTTGGGCATACAAGGTTAAAATATCAAAAAAATAAAAGCTGTTTTCATATACACAAATATCTTTTTTAAATAAAAATTGATATTAAAATATTAAAATAAAGTATTAACACGAGTGCCTTGCATGGCCAATGTTAAAAGAAAAAATACAATCGTTTACATAAATATTTAAGACTAGTTTTAATAATGACAACTGTAAATAGAGACGTGTAACATAAATAAAAACCATGTTAAAGAAAAAAAAAAAGGAAAAAAAAAGGGATCTCCGCTCCTCCGCCAGGATCTCTATCGGCACCATCCTGGCGATGACGCAGATCGCATCATCTGACACGCTTTAGAAAATGCTGGCCCTCCTGAGGACTCTTAGCCTATAAAAAATCTTAAGCCCTGTCTCCGGTGGGCGTAGGGCTTCCGTCGAGATAATAATACCGTAGTTTAAGACCGACGTGCACACTGATGTCAGCAGCGCTTTCCTATGCTGCCTCGGTGCACCCACGTTCGGCATGAGTCTACCTAGAGCTGACCGCACCCCGGACGCCTTGGCAGTGCATTGCTCCACGTGCTGCTCCATATGCTTGAAATTGAGCTGGGCATCGATCATCGCCCCCAAATACCGTACTTACGGCCTGGAGGTGAGAACGTCCTCCGCCCTGAGATTAGCCTCCGTCTTGTGCGCAGCCAAGCACAACCCTACTGCAATCATCCAGTATTCTATAGCCTCAAACATCACGCGGCTTTCCCACGATCATTACTGCAACGTCATCCGCAAACGCCGCCAGCTTTACCTCCTGAGGAAGGACTAACCTCAGAAGTCCACCATACATAGTGATCCATAGGAGCGGCCCCAACATCGAGCTCTAAGGCATTCCTCCAGTCATTCCGTGCTTCTTGGGACCCTCCTGCGTATCCTGTGTGAGTAACCTGCCCTTAAAGTAGTTCTCCATGACCCTGCGCAAGTATTCCGGAACGCCGAATTCCACAAGTGTCTCGATGATGCAATCCCACCTTGTGGTATTGGAAGCGTTACAGATGTCCAGAATTGCTACGCCACACTATTTTTTGGTGCCCCTGGGCCATCAATCGCCGGAAATCGCTTACCTGACAGAGCACATTATCAGATCGAAAACCCGAGAGTGGACCTACCACGCCTAAACCCGAATTAGTTAAGTGATATTATTGAGGTGATGGCCTCAATTCTCCTGTGCACTATCCGCTCCAGCAACTTCCCGGCCGTGTCCAGAATACAGAGGGGACGGTATGATGACGGGTCGTCCGGCGGTTTCTTCCCCGGGGGCAACAGGACCAGCATTTGCCTCTTCCATGCCGCAGGGAAGATGCTCTTCATTGTGCACCTCCAAGAATAGGCCCGACAAGGCTCGAATGGCGGCTTTTATTGTCATGTTCGGTGCCCTATTTGGGCCAGGAGCATTAGAGCTCTCAACGCGTTTGTACGCCTCCGCCATGGGCCGTCGTCTAGTGTCACTACGTAGGTGTCGGGGTCCTTGCCACTCGCCTTCTAGCCAGCAACGTCGATTCGTTTAGGGGACGGCCTCCACTTCTATTCTGCCGGCATCTCCCAGCATAAAGCACGGTGGTTTCCAGCAAGGTCTGTTCTTTGACGGTTGTCGTCCTACTTTGCCAATCGGCTGCCCAGGCGTTGAAGTCCTGTTTGCGAGCTTTCCTACGCCTGTACTGGGGTATCCCTCCCCTGCACTTTCGAGAAGTGCATCTTTTTGGTTGTGCAACTTTTTCGA